GAGTGGGTCAAGTCATTTGGGCTTGTTAGGAGTTTTTCAAGTGGGTCAGATAATTTTAAAAGTCAAAGATAGGCACTTGGGTGCTTGATGCATGTGGGCTTATTTGACAAATAGATTTAATTTTTAAATCTTTTTTATTATTTTTTATTTATTTCAAAATATTATTGATTCTAAATATACATATTTGAATAGAGAAAAACATGAGAGTATGAATAAACATATCTGAACAGAAAAACATGACTGTTTAAATATAGTTCATTTAAACAAGAAAACATGGCTATATATAATGTCATGACTTTTTGAATTGATTTGATTGGTGACTGTTCATTTATTATAAATAGATCTTTCTACCTACCAAACTTCACTACTTCTGATTTAGAGAGTTTTTAAGGTTTTGTTATATCCTATAGGCATAATTGCCATTAAGATAGTGTTTTTCATGCCTCAAAGCCATATTTTCTTTTTTTTATTGTTATTATTTCTGTTTTCTTAAATTTTCTAACATAAAGAATCACATTTTATGAATCAAATTAATGAATGAAATTACGAAAAGTAAGATTCTTGAAAGTAAGATTTTGATCAAGAATCTTACTTTTCTCCGAATAGAACGTCTCTTGATGTATTTTTTCCTTTTTTATTTATTTATCTTTATTTACAATTAAGATGTCCTTGTATATTACTTATTTATTAATATTAAGCATATTTTATATTATAGTTATTAGATATAATTATAGAATTGGTTCAACCGAGCTAGGCTTGAGCCTTAAAAGGTTTGATCTGAATTTAATGGGCTTCATATTTTTGATTTGGCACATCCAATGGGTTTAATGTTTTTGTTCAAATTCTTTAAAAATTTTAGCGTGTCTTTGGATCTAGACAAATAATCCAATCATTGGATAGACCTAATGTAAAATAATTTAGGTATATAATTAGTATGAATTTGTTTTTAACTCTTTAATTAATTTTTTTTAAGGAAAGATCGAAAGCAAAAGAAATGAAATAAAAAAATTCCAATTGCTTAGTTCTGACATAACCTTGCGCATTTCTCAATATTCCAATCTCAATACTCTTTTGTCAAACGAGTGGGATCCAATTATATTTTTGGTCGTCTATTACTCCACACCAATTTATATTCGTATGTCCAATTCCTACGACAGGAAGAAGAAAATTCGAACAAATTCATTTTCGCCATATATGGCTAGTTTCCTTGTAAGTCATAACAGGTAACGAAATGAAGAATTGTGGAGCTGAGGGCCAAACACTGAAATACTTCTATGAATTGTCCAAATTATGACTCAATATTGATGTTGCTCAGTGAATGCTTGTATGAATTGTAAATCCTTAACCCGGGGGCCCTTAGACCGTCAAAGTTTCCCCTCCTCTGTTGTTCCCCTTAACGTGTTACTAATTTCAAGAAGGCATCATTTGGTATTTGTCTGAAATGTAATTGCATTAAAATTGACCATCTGACGCATAATGATGGATAAAGCATATGAAATTGCAGCATAGGTGCTTTACTTCCGAGGACTAAACTCTATTGAATTTGCTTATGGTTGGATGAAATGATGAAACATAAGGACTCTTTTCAGGCTTCTCTGCTAAGAAGCAAAACAGCACATAAATGGACCAGGTTGTGAGTGTATTATTACTGCAGTTGCATAAAGTTATATGGCCTGTTAGGAATAAATATTGTGGTCATTGCCTAGAATAATGCTGCATTTGAACCAACAGGGCTACTTTAAGAGTGATTATTGTTATATTTGATCAGGATTTTCTTTTCTGTCGGTGCTACGGGCTAGAACTGACTGGACTGGAGTGTTGTTCATCGCATAGTTCATCTGTGGTTGACTGCCAATGATTTCAACTGCAAGACATTAACACGTGTATTAATAATTTAGGTGTAGAATGTTAATCCAGCAATATGCCTCATACTTGTTTTATTTGTTTTCGTTGATGTTATTCTCATGTCTTTGCTTAATGATGTAATGTGGGGATGTGTCTCTCTATTTCCAGTGTAACAATATCTAATGTTTTTAGTATTCATCATTTTAGATTTGTTTTTAATGTTCATTAATTTGTCTAGTCTTAGCTGTTATGTGGCAAATGAGCAGGGCTAGTTTTTGTTCCCTGATACTGAGATGAATAGAGCAATCGTCATTAAGCATCTTTTGAGCTTGCTGGTTGAAGTGAATGAACCATTATTGATTGCTTTTGCTTCCTTGTATATATGATGCATACACCGAACTTTTATTGCATGAAATGTCAGTTTCATTTGATCTGATTTTGTGTTTCTCCTTCCAGAAAGGAGCAATGGCCCTGATGGAGGTATGTGAGGGATTAGGTCTCTTTGATCCAATGAACAGGAAATGGCACATACTAGGTACTCTCACGCTTAGAGGAGATGCCCTCTATGAAGAATTGGACTGGTTATCTGGAACTCGCAAGGAGATGAAAGCTGGGTTCATCATCATTCTAATGATGTAGGTTGGTAATCTTTCTCTCGCCTATTTGGCATTAAGACGGATCTTGACAACGAGAAAATTATTCGACTTCATTCCCCAGGTACATTAGCAGAGGCATTAAAGCTTGTAAGCCATGTTTAACCATTGGGAAGTCCGGAGATTGTAATCGAAGTTTTGTTTCTTTAGTCTAAAGCTGATGATAGGGATGCTTCCCTTTATGTGTATATTAAGGCAGGTAACTACTTCCAATGAAAATTGTTTACTCACTGGCTCGTTTTTAGATTGATCCATACGGTCGCTCTTATATATAAAGTGGAAAATGATTGTTAATTCTCTTTTTTGATCTCGTTTTCGAGATCTTTGCTGCAAATGCTGTTCTGTTCATAGATGTTGAAAAGGGGCAATATTTTTTTAAAGGAAAAAAAAAACAACATTAATTTTCACTTAGTAAAGTTGCGTGACATTTACTTACAGGAAATGAAGTTTATTGAGTATGAATTTTACATTCCGGTTAGTTGAACCAAATGCGGTTATCTTATATTACTGGGAATATGCTAGGTAATCTTATTTTCTCCTAATCAAATGTCACTTATTCATTAGGCTTTAATTTATTTGCTTTATTTTTTATGGAGCATTTGGTTCATAGATTTTTAGATTTCGAGTAAGAAAATAATTGCAAAAGAAGTAATATTGAAAGAGAATGTGTATTTCTTTATTTCTATTGACCTTACGAAATGTAAAATTTTTGTGTTTGGTTAGAAGAATGTAAAATTGTTTAATAAAAATTTTTTCCTATATTATTTTTTATGACACGTGAATAATACTTTACATTCATAACACTTGACATGTGAATAATACATGAATAAATAAATGATTTATTTAAAATTTTATTTATTTAACATTTAAATTGTTTATTTATTATTTTTTAAAAATTATTTAAGTATTTTAGGATTTATTCTACATATAATATATGTAATAATAAAATTTAAGAGTTTTGAAAAATATTTTTTTTAACATTTTCAATAAAAATCATGTTTTTTATTTTAGAAACGTGGTTTTTGTTGAATTCTAAAAAATAATTTTTTTATATTTTAAACAAAAATTGCATTTTTTATCTTAAAAATATTGTTTTTGTTAAATTTTGAAAAATAATTTTTTTTCATATTTTAAACAAAAATCATGTCTTAAAAACATTATTTTTGTTGAATTCTATAAAATAAAATTTTTTTCATATTTTCAGCAATGATCATGTTTTACCTTAGAAGTGCCATTTTTGTTAAATTATGAAGATTAACCAAAAAAACAACATATAACATTACTATATTTTAAAGATAAATAATGTTATTTATATAGTTTGAAAATGCAATTAATTGAAGGTAAATGGGGTAAAATTTTTGCTTTCACTCTGGAATTTAAAACAACTTCAAAGAGATGACGTTTTTAATTTCTTGTACTTTTTTTTTCATATTGTTGGAGATCTAATAGAATCTAAAAATTCACATTTTATGAATCAAATTAATGAATTAAATTACGAAAAGTAAGATTCCGATCAAGAATCTTACTTTTCTCCGAATAGAACATCTTTTGATGTACTTTTTTCTTTTTACTTATTTATCTTTATTTACAATTAAGATGCCTTTTGGATATTACTTATTTATTAATATTAAGTGTATTTTATATTATATTTATAATATATAATTATCAAATTGGATCAATTGAGCTGGGCTCAAGCCTTAAAATGTTTGACCTGAATTTTAACAGATTTCATATTTTTGATTTGGCACATCCAATGGTTTTAATGTTTTTGTTAAAATTCTTTCAAAAATTTAGTGTCTTCGGATCTAGACAAATAATTCAATCATTGGATAGATCTAATGTAAAATAATTTAGGTATATAATTAGTATGAATTTATTTTTAACTCTTTAATTAATTTGTTTTTAAAGAAAAATTAAAAGCTAGGTGAATAGGCTATTAAAATGATGTAATTGGGTTTTGGGTTAAGTTTTTAATAAGAAGTTTTTGGAGACTTTTCTCATTTTAAAATTCTTACAGTTGTAAAGATTTATTTGATAGTGGATTAAGTTTGGAGTAGGTCATTTTAAATTGGGCCGAAATAAATATATTTGTGTATTCTTATTCTTGATTTGAGCTTGCTATTTTGTGTGGGTGCTGTATGTGCATGTTGATTTCCTAACAGAAAAAAGGTGATCCGAAGCCTTTAGTGCGATGCTCAAACCCAATTGAAACCTCACTTCCTGAAATAAAAGTGCTAGTTATACCGCATTCATGTACTACCTGATCCATCAAAATATTGACCAAGTAATATAAGCAAACAAAAGATAAAAAAGGATATAAAAACTTAGGAGAGATGGAGAAAAGACCTGTGGGGTAGCAACCATTTTTGTGTCTGTTAGGTAGTTAAAAAGTTGCACTTTATTACTTTTAATAGAATCAATGTTGACAAGTTTTTAATCTGTTCCACTTCAAAGCTTTCAGTTGGTTCTAACTTGAACACACCTTCAACCTCAGCTAGCTTTTCACATCCCAAAATAATACATCTTTTCCAAGACATCAGACATCGTCCACTTGAAATCACGTGCACCAGTGGAGACGATGACACATACATCCCAATGAGTGGACTGAATATTGGAAGCTTTGGAATCAGTTGGAGCTCTGAGCAAGAAGTCAGTTGAAGTTCATTAAGCTTTATAAGGCTACCAATGCTCTTAGGCAGGCTATGGATTGGATTTTTACTTAAATTTAAAGACTTCAAGGATGGCAAGCTGCTAAAATCATTGGGCATGACATCAGCAGATAGTTTGCAACTTTCAAGGCTCAATTTTACCAAAGAGCATGGTAAAGATGCCCAAAAGAAACCCAATTCTTTGCTTCTTTTCAGTGATAGGCAAGACATCCACGATTTTGATTGATATATGGCAGTTTCATTTAAATTAAGCACCCTTAATGATTTCATATTTTGCAACTCTCTAGGAATATCATCAAGTCTTCAGCAACCAGATAAAATAAGCACTTCAAGAGACAATAGCAAACCAATTGTTCTTGGAAGTTTCATAAGGCTTTTGCAATCTTTAAGGCTTAAAAAAGTAAGTGTCTTTAGTTCACCAATGGATTGATCAACCGCAATCAACTTTATGCAATCTTTGAGCATCAACTTCTCAAGACTTGGGAGTCCTAAAATGTTTGAGGTTTTGAGAAGGCAATGTGAATGATTTAGATTAAGGATCTTCAAATTTGGAAGACCCCGTGGAAAAGAAAAAAAAAACTTTATTTACAAATGTGTTATTGCTTTAAAAAAAACAAGGAAAGTGAAATTAGTGGTTATCACTTATCTTACCTCAGTATCCTTCCAAATATGTTTTAGGTTACTGTTGCGCATGTCAAGAATAACTAGCCTCTTAATATCAAAATCCATTGGAACGGATTGTAGAGGAAATCCATGTCCATGCCAGCTCAACCATATTAAACCTTTGGGGAAGTCTTTGAAGTCTCCTTTAAGTTTTACATAATCTATCTGAAATAGTTTAAGTCTCTGCATCTTTGCAAATGCTTCAGTTTCTATATCAACCTCATTTGACATGACAAATCGATATTTTGAATGCTTTGCAAATGTAGACCTGAAGCTGTCCTTCTAGACTTTTTTTTTAGCAATCCTTGTAGATCCACAGTGAGACAATTGTTTCGGAACCCTGGATCAGAAAGAATGTCTTAAAAAAGATTGAAAAAATAGTTGTATGATAAAAGTTCAAAAGATACATACAAGAAACAAGTAGATTAAAATAAAGTCTCTTACAATTTTTACTCTTATTACATCAAGTGCATCCTTATACCACAACCTGTTTCATTTTCTTGGATCAAGAGATTCTCGACGAATAATTTCCTTTCCCATATCTCAAACTATTTGATGCATCATTAGCTTGTTGTTTTTATTAACAATTAGGAGAGACCTGCCTATGAGATTTTCAATTCCATCTATTGTATAGAAACCACAACCGTCTTGAATTGCAGTTGTATAATCTCTATCCTTCCCAATGAATAAGCAAGCTATGTCAAGGAATAAATTTTTATCATGATCATCTTGAAGGGAATCATAGCTTACTCGTAGAATCTTTTGAATTTTGCTATCAGGAATTGCTTCCAATTTCTCCAATGCGTTTTTCCATACACTTATACTTTTGCCAGAGAGAGAAGAACCCAAGACTTGAAGAGCTAATGGAAGCCCACCACATTATTTGACTATATTGCTTACAAGCTCCATAAAACTCAGTTATATAGTTGTGGCCGAAGGCATACCAGTTAAAAAAATTGAAGTGATTCCTTGAAAGCTAATTCTTTTACTTCAAATACTTTGTATAAGTCTCCATAACTGGATGATGCTTTCAAATCAAACATCTGGGTAATAAAAGGGCCACTTAGCAGATGATGACGCCTACTAGTTAGGATGATTTTACTTCCTGGGAAAAAGGGTATTTGCTTTCCAAATATTTTAGTTATGTTTTCCAAATCATCAACATCATCAAGAACAATAAGAACTCTTCTACAACATACAGCTTCTTTGATCTTAAGAATTCCATTATCTGCATTGTAGATTTTGTTTGCTTTCCCCTTAAGGATATCTGAAATAACTTGTCTTTGCAAACGAACCAAGCCATTGCACTCTTGAGTTGTTTCTCTAACATCAGCAAGGAAACTATAACCTTCAAATCTTTGGATGTTTTGATTGAAAACGACTTTGGCAATGGCTGTCTTTCCAATCCCTCCAATTCCACAAATTGTTGCAATGCCATTTTTATTTGATCCATTTTCTTGTATCCACAGATTAATGTGTGTAACAAGAGAATCTATTCCAACTAAATAAGAAGGGACATACAAACTGTTGTGATAGAGTTTATGTTGAATTTGCTTAAGAATATCTTGAATGAATTGCAATTCATGCCTATAAATTTTAAAAGATAAATGTTAAATTATTCAACATATATGATCAAGCTATTACATTTAAAAAAAAATTTAAGAAACAAACGACATAAATTAACAAACCAATGTAAATTTTAATGAAACTTACATGTGATGAGAGAAGGACTTAAAATTTCAAAGTTTTAGAACCTTCTCCTCGTTAAAAATCTAAGACAAGTTTGTTTGTTTCAATAAAATTACATTTTTATCCTTAGTCATTATAACTTTTTTCTTCTTGTGAAATTTATTGTGGAATAATATAGGATATACTAATGGGAATGTGAATTTAAAAGTTTCTAAAGGCAATAATAAATATGTTATATAATGCAATTAAGGCAAGTTCTACCAAGTGGGAAGTCTTAATACAAACCGAAGATGCTAATAACTTAATGTAGCCAAGAAACCAATCCAAAAGTTAATGAAATGTACCAACAAAATCCTAGACAATCAAAGAGCTGAGAACATTAAAAAAAAAAAAAAAAAACTTAGCAGCAAAACCAAGTGAGAACCCCCTATAAAAGAACTGCAACATTGTGCTAGATTAAAATACAAAAATTAAGAATCTAAATATATATATATGTATATATATATTACAACATACATGGTTACTAAATAAGGTTTACTGATATGAATGCTTACGTGAACATTTTTTTTTTCGACACATAAGAAAATTGTTAAACTTTCTCTTTATAATGATATATATGATATTTTTTAATTTTAGACTCTTTATAAAAAATATATATTTCAAAATTTATTTAATTATTCAAAACTTTTAAAATTTAAATGAAAAACCAATTTAGATTTAAAATAATTAAAGGGATAAAATTATTGTTTTTTATTTTGGTAAGCTTTTATTTAAATAAGTAAAATTAATTATTATTTTTTATTTATGGATTAAATAAATGTATTTAAAAATTATTAGTTATCCAATTCTTTTTAACATATATTATTTGAAAATTTTTAATTATCCAAAGTTTTTCTTTTTACTAAAATAAAAATCATCTTTATTTGTCAAATACACCTTTAAATATATCTTTTTATTTTAAAAAAATTAATTTTCTAATAATTTTTTAATAATTAATTATACATATAGGTCTAGACATGAAATTAGTCCTAAATGATCAAATAATAAGTGGAAAAGCACTTGATCTGTAATTAGTGCTACATTTAAAAATGCTTATATTTTTGTTGCCTTAACAATTAAATTGATAGTATTAATAATTGTAAAGTTTGCTAGTGGAAAATAAAAAACTTCACCTATCATTTTCAACTAGGACAATAATATATATTTTTTATTTTTTAAAATTAATTTTTTATATATATCTTAAATTTTAAAAATATAAAATATAATTTTATCCTAATAGATTTCATGATAATTTTTTATTATTTAAAAGAATCAAATTTAATGTCTTAATAATTTATAAATGATGGTTTAATATCATTCCTTAACATTAATTTGATTTTTTTTTTGTCATTGTTCTCCATTTTTGTGTTATTTCCTTTTCTTTGTATATTAAAAGTAGAAATTATAGAAGCATTTATTTATTTTTAGATAGTTATGGTAAACCAATTGTCTTTAACTTTGACTTTATATATATATTTCAAGATGTAAAGTTATATAAACACATATATTTTTATATTTTGTAAGTACTGTCTGTAGACATTTTCTTTTTAC